AACTGCTACCATTTTTATGACAGGAGGCGAGGCAAGGTGAATCCAGAGTCTCATTCATCACGTTTGACCTAGTAATTCTGGTAAATCCGAACTGTGGGCAAGGTTTGAATGCATCACAACACTATTGGTCATAGCAAAGCAGTGGAAACTCTGAACATGTCCCAAATTATTCAGTAGTTTATGTCAGCAACGAACGGATGTGGGTCAGGAAACACCTGAAGCTGTTCAGGATAATAATTATGCAGAACTGTTGGTGTGGTATCAGAATGTGTATGCTCTCTGATGTTAAATGGGGGAGGGGGGAGAAACAAAAACAGTATATGTGTGGGATCCTCACCGTGTCCAATGAAATATTCACAGAAGGAAGAGCATGCACCCAACTGCCTTGAACAGAGTCGGGGGTGCCTCCTTCCTTTCCTTTCCCTTCCTGTGCCCATGCACCTCTACATCCTGAAAAATATGGGTGGGGACCTCTGAGGAGTCAAGGGTGGGGCAAGACCTTCACAGAGGGAGGTGAAAAAGGAAAACATATTTCCCAGCCCTTGGTATTATCCATCGAGAGAGAGAGAGAGAGAGAGAGAGAGAGAGAGAGAGAGAGAGAGAGAGAGAGAGAAGAAGAAGAAGAAGAAGAAGAAGAAGAAGAAGAAGAAGAAGAAGAAGAAGAAGAAGGGAAGGAGGAGGAGGAGGAGGAGAAGGAGGAGGGGGAAAGGAGAAGAGGAATGCCTATATGATCAGTCAGTAAATCTTACCTCCAGTGAGACCTGCTCATTGGTTTTGTGCATCTGGAATAAGAACAACTTTAATATATTTTATTAATTTTTTACAGAGAGGAAGGGAGAGAGCTAGAAACATCAATGAGAGAGAAACATCCATCAGCTGCCTCCTGCACAACCCCCACTGAGAATGTGCCTGCCCTTAACCTGAATCAAACCTGTGACCCTTTAGTCTGCAGGCCGACGCTCTATCCACTGAGCCAAAGTGGTTAGGGCAAGTACAACTTTAAATGTCAGATGACCATCTCTCCGGAGCGTCAAATACCCTGGTACTGAGGGGAGAGGACCCCATCCCTCCTGATTTTACCTTTTACCCGAATAACCTGGCAAACGATTTATATGAGACGTCACCCATCCTGCATCGCCTGTAAGAGAAACACGCATGTCTCCGTTGCACGTTGTATCCAATCCTAGGTAGTTCCCCACCTTATTTTTTTAAATTTCAACCAGAGGACTATCTCCTTGCAGAGAATTCCACCTGCACACTCCTGCAAAGGAGCAGAGAGGTGTGGCCAGGCATCTCTGGCCAGAGTTAGTGCAACTGCCATGTTGTGTTATTTTGTTTTATATATACTTATATATCTTTGCGATTGAATATAGATTTGGGGTGGCATGCTGGAGAGAGTGGATGTGGATGGAGGGTCGGGAGGGCAGGTGTGTGGAGAGCGGCTACAGCGTTTAGACTGATAAGAGGGCACAGTCCTCTCCTGGCCACGTGCAAGTCCCAGCTTGGAGGGCAGAGGCCTCCCAGCACAGTGACAGCCAGCAGCTGGAGTTGTAAGCTAGAAGCTATGGTCCGAACACGTGGCCCCACGTGCTTGAGTGAAATAGGCTGCAAGTGAACAAAGCTTGATCAGGTGCATGTAATTGAGTATAATCAAAAGCCATGAAAATGTTGTAAACATCTTGGCCACGCCCTTCCTTTGACTCGTGGCATCTGGCTATAAAATAAAGACATGGCTTGTAGTCTGTGTCTCTGTCTCTGTCGCTAGCTCTCCGTCCTGAAGCAATCCATCAGAGGGGAGAACATCCCACCGAGACCTAGCTTTTCTCAATCCTTCACCTCCTCAACTCGGGTTCACCCTTGGCCATGCTGGTGAGACACCGGGGTGCCCCCGAACCCAGATATTTTCTACACTGTTACTAATGAAGAGAACAGATGAGTCCAGGGGCCTGGACTCTCATGTCTGAGGTAAGAGGGGCCTGGAGGCTTGAACTCTTGGGTCTGAGGGATGTGTGGGATCGGGGCCAGAAGTTCTTGTCCAAGAGCGGAGTGACTGGGGACCAGTGTCCTGGGTTGAGTGAGGAGAGGCCTGTGGGCTTTCACTCTTGGGTTTGCATTAGAAAGGGACTGGAGTGTCCACAGTTTTGTGCCTGAGAAAAAGAGGATGAAAGTTCAGAATGTGGGGTTTGGGAGAGAAGGTTATTGGGTTCCAGGACCCTGGCCTGGGTCTGAGATATGAGTGATCTTGGGTTTTGAACTACTGGGTCTGAGAAATAGAAGGAAAAAAAAGTGGCCTGGGTACCAAACCACCCAGGTCTGAAAGAGGGGGCTGGGGACTTAGACTCCTGGGTCTGAGGGAGGAGGGGCTGGGGGCCTGGACTCCTGGGTCTGAGGGAGGAGGGGCTGGGGGCCTGGACTCCTGGGTCTGAGGGAGGAGGGGCTGGGGGCCTGGACTTCTGTGTCTGAGGGTGGAGGGGCTGGGGGCCTGGACTCCTGTGTCTGAGGGAGGAGGGGCTGGGGGCATGGACTCCTGGGTCTGAGGGAGGAGGTATTAGGGAGCCTGGACTCCTAGACTTTGTGAGAGGAGGGCTCTTGGTTTCCTCTCTGCAGATTACTGGTGTCTTCAGAATTTCTTCAATATGTGGGTGCTTAGTTGGGGGTTAAAGGAGACTCAAACGAGGACAGGAATGTGGAGAGCCAAACCAGTTAGTGCCGTGGTTGGCAACCTGCCATTTGTGAGCCACGTGCATCTCTTTGGCCCCTTGAGTGCGGCTCTTCCACGAAACACCACGGCCTGGGCGAGTCTATGTTGAAGAAGTGGCATTAGAAGAAGTTTCAGTTTAAAAAATGTGGCTCTCCACAGAAATTTCAATCATTGTACTATTAGTATTTGGCTCTGTCGACTCATGAGTTTGCCGACCACTGGGTGAGGGCAAGAACAACTTTAAATGTCAGATGATCTTCTCTCCGGGGCTGCAGGAACAAATACTCTGGTACTGAAAGGAGAGCACCCCATCCCTCCTGATGGTTATCTTTTACCCGAATAACCTGGTAAAGGATTTCCTCACTCAGGGATGGGGGACAGGGCAGTCCATGGATGCTGATATTTCTATGTGGAAGGGGTAAGTCTTTGGGGAGACCACCCATCAGTCAGCAGGGTCTGCAGTGCGGTTGCTCAGGGAGCCCAGGAGGCCAGGCATCTGGAGACCTTGACAGGCTCGGAGGCACGGGGGAATCCCCACTCCTCCCTCTCTTCCCTCTTCCAGAGGCCCCTCCCTCCAATTCTGGTAGAACCCACCTACCCCAGTTTTCACACACACCCCCCCTTGTTCTCTCTCTTACTCCAGATGCGGGTGCTCACTTGTGTCAGGGCCTGGGTGGACTCCTGTGTCCTATCAGCATGCCAACTCTGGCCTTTTTTTTTTTTTTTAATGTATTTTATTGATTGTTCCATAGAGAGGAAGAGAGAGGGATAGAGAGCTAGAAACATCAATGAGAGAGAAACATCAATCAGCTGCCACCTGCACATCTTTTCCTGGAGATGTGCCCGCAACCATTGTACGTGCCCTTGACCGGAATTGAACCTGGGACCCTTCAGTCCGCAGGCCGATGCTCTATCCACTGAGCCACACCGGTGAGGGCAACTCTGGCCTTTCTGAAAACCTGCTCCCACCCCTCCTAGTTTGACACCTGTGCTGAGAACCACTTTCACATCCTTTTGCACACTGGTGATGTAGGCATTTCTCTCTCTCTCTCTCTCTCTCTCTCTCTCTCTCTCTCTCTCTCTCTCTCTCTCTCATGAGTGGGGAAAAACTGAGGGCTAGGAAATGGACAGAAACACGTCACTGTATCACAGGGGCCAGGAGGCAGAGTTAGGGTTCACAGTCAGTTACATTGTCCCCTTCCCACCTCCCTCTGCGAAGGTCTCTTCTCCCCAGCCTTGTCTCCTCAGAGGTCCCCCCCCCCCCGTATTTTTCAGATTGTACAATAGAAGGGCATAGGCACAGAACAGGAAACACGAAGAAGAAGGCACCCACGACTCCATCCACAGACAGTCTGGTCCTTGTTCCGTGAGATAATTGTTCTGTGAATATTTCCTTTGACAAGGTGAGGCTCATTGCCTTTATGTGTGTGTGTGTGTGTGTGTGTGTGTGTGTGTATTGTATCTCCCCTGTTTTCATTGAACATCAGAGAGCATGCACCTTATTGTGTGACACCAACAGTTCTGCATAATTATTACCCCGAGCAGCTGCATGTGTCTCCTGACCCACATCTGCTTGTTGCTGACATAAACCATTGAATAATTTGGGACATGTTCCCACGGCTTTGCTATGACCAATAGTGTTTTGATGCATTCAAACCTTGCCCACATTTCGGATTTACCAGAATTACCAGGTCCAACGTGATAGGTCCTCCCTTCCCCCAACTGGTGGACGGAGTGTGATGTAAATTCCACCTGCAGCCGGACTTTCCTAAGCACCTAACCAGGCACTTTCTATGGACTGTACATTGAACCACCAATCAGCACCTGCCAAATACCCTAAGTCCCTGATTCATAGGTCCCTAACTATGTGCCTTACATGAAACTACCAATCAGCGTGTGCTGAGTGCCCTAAGCCCCATCCCTTCCCTTTCCTCCCCTCAAAAGGCATGTTCACCCCGGCACATGTGCTCTCTCTCCTTGGAAGGCAGCCCGGCAGGGGACTTCTCCGCCAATAAAGCCTGTGTCCTGGTCTCCTGGTCTCCTGGTCTCCAGCCTCTGTCTCATCTTTCAAAAAGTGATAAATGAGACTCTGGATTCACCTTCTGTCCTAAAAATGGTAGCAGTTTACAGTTCTACTGGAGAACACTGCAGGTCTCCCTGCATCCTCACCAGCACTAACGTTTTTCTGATTAGTGCATAGATATTGATAATTTTATTATTTGATTAGGATATCGTTGACATTTTTTTAAATGTAACTTTGAGAAATGATGAAGTCAAATATGGCTGCAAGTCATGGGCGTCTTTATTTCTATGAATTTCCTGTTCGGGGCATAGGGACAGAGAGATTAGCAACTGTTTATCATGGTTTCAAATATCCACTTGCTGTACTTGCACACGTGGATGTAGATGATGGGGTCGAAGGGTGGGCGACACGGGAAATAATCGGAGGACACCAGGCCTTGCAGGGTTCCTTGGCAGATCAGCGGGCTCCCCGCGTCCCCCTGCAGGGGAGAGAGCAGATTAGCTTTGATTTCAAAATAACCAGCAAGGAGGTCCCACAGACTCATGTTTATCAAGCCTTGATCCTGCCAGAACACAGCCTTCCACCCTGGCCAATGGGAAGAGACGCCTGGTCTCTGCGGACCAATGGCAGAGCAGGAATGGATGCTATCTTGGAGAGGACCAACCAGGTTTTCTGAAGACATGGGCTTGAGTCCCGGCCAATCACAGGGAGGGGGCGGGGCTTCCAGGGTGTCAGAGCCCCATTTATTTGTCAAGCCCCTGGGAGAGGAAGCATTACCTTCAGGAAATCCCATGTGTTTCCTTACCCAGGGATGGGGACAGGGTAGTCCTGGAAACTGGGGCTGGGACCAGTGCCCTAATTTACAGGCTCTAGTGCAAAATAAAGGTACCGACCGCCAGGTTCAAGAAGATGAAGTTTAAGAAAAGCAAGTGCGTTGAACGAAAGTGCAGGGCTGTCGCGAGTTTGCGACTCTGTGTCCCTGCCCAGTTTGCAGAGTTGTGAATCAGGCCCTCAGCGGGAGGTCAAGGGGAACGCCCCCTCCCCCATTTTAAAGAACACACAGCGCTGTCCCATCACCTCTCTTTCTAACACACACTGCTTTACCGCCCCTGAAAGCTGAGAGTGCACATGGGAGCAAAGATAGTGGGGGTCTAAAGAGGGAAGGAGAGAGAGGGGGTGGGGGGGACACGAACACAGAGGAAACCAGGAAATGAAATGAGGTGCGAGGGGAGGTGAGGCTAGCTGATTCTGAGGGACAGGGAGGAGGTTGGAGAGATGAGGAAGTGGGGGTGGGGAGAGAGACAGGAGAATTCAGAATTAGAACCTGATACACAGACATAGAAGCAGGGCACGAGCCTCAGGCACATGTCAGCGACTGCATTTTAAAGCATGTTTTACAAATAGAATTTAATACGAAAAAAAAAAATCCACGTGGAACCGGGAATTCCAGTGTTCGATAAAGACTGGGCCAATACGGTGCTCCTCTGAGCCACAGAGGCGCCAAAGCAAATAGGAAACCCAGCCGGTCTGGTTCCTATTTTTTGTTGAAAATCCTGATGTTTGACTCACCGTGGGCTATGTTTTACATATGTCATGGGAACACGATCTATCAGGTCACGGAGCTTTCCGTGTGCCCTGAAAGCTGGTCCTTGTAGCCAGGTTCTCAGAAGACATTGGCCTGAGCCCTCCTGGGGGTGGAGCCTGCAACCTGGGCATGTGCCCTTGACTGGAATCCAACCCAGGACCCTTCAGCCTACATTCGACCCACTGAGCCAAGCCGGCTAGGGTGGTAGTCCAGTTTTAGATAAAGACTGGCTCATCCTCGGGCTGTTCTGAACCACATAGAAGCCCAAAAGCAAACGGGAAACGAATTCCATTCTGGTTGCTCTTTGTTGAACATTCTGATATTTGGCTCACCGTGGATTATGTTTTACATAATCACGGAACTTTCTGTGTGCCCTGAAAGCGTGTCCTTGTGACCCATACCTCACTGCCCTCCCCACATCGTCCCGGCCCCATTTCCCACCCCCAGGTTCTATCCTTCAGCTTTGTGCCCACCCCCAAGGCCACGCCAGCCCCCGTGGGCTCCCACCCTGATCCGGGCAGAGGACGGAGGAGAGAGAGCCAGGGAAGTGGGCCTGGTAAAGGGTGAGGGAAGGCTCAGCCCCAGGGTCAGCCCCCCCCCCCCCCGACACAGGATAGAGGGGGGAGACAAGCCCAAGAGGAAGCAGGACCCAGGGCAGGCAGGTGGGGGAGGAGGGGACTCACTTTGCAGGCGAAAGACTTTCGGTCCACGGGGGCCGCGCAGATGGTGTATTTCTTCAGCACCGTCGGGTAGTCCTTCCTGCATTCCTTGAAAGGGACGAGGTTGACGTTCGAGCACATGAGTGCGATTGGGTGTCCTACAGCTGGGGAAGTGAGCGGGAAGTCAGGGCCTGGGCCCGGTGGACCCACGGGCGCTGATGTAAAGGAATGGGGGCCCTGGCTATTGGAAGAGGATGGGCTGGAGTGACTCAATACGACGGACCTGGAAAGGGTCCTGTGGGACTGCTGGTCCTGAGCAAGGAGGGGACTTGTGTCTGAACTCCTGGGTTTGAGGGTGAGGGGGTGCTGAGGCCAGGGACTCCTCTGTTTAAGGGAGGAGGCGTTGCATGTGAGCAAAGATATTGGGGGTCTAAAGAGGGAAGAGGAGAGAGAGGGGGGGGGGTAATGCTTCCTCTCCCAAGATCTCTATAAATAAATGGGGCTCTGACTTCCTGGAAGTCCCGCCCCCCCCTCCCTGTGATTGGCTGGCTGTAGGCCAATAATGGTGAGTCTGATGGTGGAGGGGGCTAAGGGCCTGGGCATTTGGGTCTGCATGGGGACGTGGCTGGGGCTCTAACCTTGGTCTTGGGGGACGGAGGCCTGGGATCCGAGGTTTATGGGACTGGGGGAGGGGTGTCTAAAGGCCAGGGCTCCTGGGTCTGGCTGAGGGAGGAGGAATATGTGGGTCTGGGATCTTGGGTTTGTTACCTATACCCTTTTAAAAAATTATATATATATTTGTGTTTTTAAAGAGAGAAAGAGAGAGGGATAGAGAGTTAGAAACACCGATGAGAGAGAAACATCATCAGCTGACTCCTCCACGCCCCCTACTGGGGATGTGCCCGCAACCAAGGTGCATGCCCTTGACTGGAATCGAGCCCAGGACCATTCAGTCCGCAGGCAGACGCTCTATCCGCTGAGCCAAACCTCTTTCGGCTGTTGCCTGTATCCTGTGTCTTAGGGAGAAAGGAGCTGTGGGCTGGGCTATTCCTGAGCCTCAGAGGCAGCCTTACAGACATCCATGGTGATACTGCCCCAGCCGGAGACAGTACAGCTCTTCCTGGGCAGTCTGCAGGTTGTGGGCACGTTGATGGTCATCACGGTGGGCGAGAGCTTGGCGGGGCTGCTCAGCTTCACGAGCATGATGTTGTGGACATCCGTTGTTACGTCATACCGGGGGTGGACATAGGTCTCGGTGGCCCTGATCTTCTGGGCATTTGGATTAACCAGAAGATCAGTGCCCATTTGCACGATGAACTCACTTGGAGAGAAAGAAAAAGGCAACGTTGAGTGGGAGACGCTGTGATTGAGATGGGGGAACACAGACCCAGAGTTAGGGGAACAGAAGCCGAGAGAGAGGGGGGGGGGGGGGGGGGCGGGGCAATTGGGTCTCAAAAGAACTGTTGGCCAAGAAGGAAACTCACTACAGACGGATTGGTATGCCTTTCAGCATAACGATTATTGTTTGTCTCATTTTCGATTCTTATAATATTTCCAGTAGGACATGATCTCACTCATCTAGGGGGAATGTTGAACAACCTAGACTGATGAACAAGAACAGACCCAGAGATAAGGAGCCATGGGTCAGACTGCTGGACCTCAAAGGGAGGGTGGGGATAAAAGGGAGAGATCTACCAAAGAATGTATGTGCACACATATGAGCCTAACCAGTGGTCAAGGACAATAAGGATGTGGGGGCATGAGTGGAGAGGGTGGGGGATTGGAATGGGGGGTTGAGGACAAATATGTGATACCTTAATCAATCAGTAAATTTAAAAAAAAGGGGGGGGATGAGATCACAGTGTCAGAAGATGGTTACAGGGGAAAAAATAGAGACCGACCTCCCTGTGGCTCCCCCGTTCTGTACCTCCTGCGGCAGTGGGCAACGGTGAGCACCCACCGCCGGTGGATCAGCACGCCTGCACACTGGAACACGTTGTTGTGATACAGGGCCACCTGCCAGGGGTGGGTGCCTCTTGTACATACAACTCCATTAATAATCCTTTCCCCAGTGTCCTGGGCTGGAGGGAGACACGGAGAATCATGGGTAGCAGGCATCAGTTCAGAACAGATGAATTCCCAGAGACAGTGATGAAGAGAGACACAAAGAGAGGGGGGAGAAGGGCAGAGGCAGGCATGGAGCATAGGGCAGAGACAGCTGCGGACAGAGATTGAGAGAGACGGGGGGAGCCTGCTCAGAAACCCAGGGCACCTGCTGGTCTGGAGGCAACTCCAGCTTCTGATGAGAGACATGGAGGGCGGGAAGCAGCCTGGAGGGCACCCAGAGCCCAGGAGTCAGGAGGGAGCAGGAAGAAAGGGGCCACAGCCCAGGGGTGGAGTCTCCATTGGACGAGGCTGCTGCAGGGGAGGGTCCTGACTTGGGGGCTCCTTGGAGAAGAGGGGGCTCTGGAGAGGGAAGTGGGAGACTGTGAGGCCCCGGGGCAAGGTCAGGACTTTCAGGCTGGTCCTCACCGGCTTCTGCAGCAGATCCCAGGGCTAAGGACAGCAGGAGGAGCAGCAGGGGCTGGAGCAGGGGGCCTGCCATGTGTCCTGTCTGAGCCTCTGTGGCTGCCACAGAGGAAGGGCCTCTTCTGCTGGGGCTGGAAAGACAGAGAGTTCCGGAAGCAGGACTCCTGGTCTCCGGGTCCCTTCTCTTCGCTCAGACCAGGAGCCCCAACCTCCCCCCTCAGACCCAGGAGCCCCCAGTCTGCACCCACCTTCTCCCTCAGACCCAGGAGCCCCATCGGCACCCACCTCCCCCCCTCAGACCCCGCAGCCCCAGTCTGCACCCACCTTCCCCCTCAGACCCAGGAGCCCCCAGTCTGCACCCACCTCCCCCCTCAGACCCCGCAGCCCCAGTCTGCACCCACCTTCTCCCTCAGACCCAGGAGACCCATCGGCACCCACCTCCCCCCTCAGGCCCAGGAGCCCCAGTCTGCACCCACCTTCCCCCTCAGGCCCAGGAGCCCCAGTCTGCATCCACCTCCCCCTTAGATCCAGAAGTCCAGGCCAGAGACACACTTCCATGCAGAGGCACCTAGGGGCCAGGCTTTCTGTCCCTCCCATTTATAATCGAAAGCCTTTCTGTTCTTCCCCATGTATAATTCCATGTCCCAAGTTCCTTTTAGGTAAATGACCCAAAACTCCAGCCCTGCAGCCCCTTCTCTCACTACCTAAAAATCGGGCCTCTACTGCTCTGCCTTCAAGAGCAAGAGTGGGCTGTCCATCCAGACACACCTGCCCAACCCCAAATGGGATTTTTCTCACCTGCAGTGGCTCTGGTCTGGTCTGGTCTTCAGCCTGGGTTGGAATCCAGCTGTGTCCAGCCCTGTGCAGAGTGGCCCTCTTATAGCACACCAGCCCCACTCCAACTCTCATGGTCCTGCAGTTCAGGTGACCCCAGCTCTGGGGTTATCTTACCTGCATTTGTTCTTATCTGGAACCCCGGAGGCAGATCAGGCCATATGCCTGCACTCTACCTCCATCCTCATTCCTGAGGCCAGGTCAGATGCTTGGCCCCAGCAGATTCCTGCTGTATCATCCCTGGTGGCAGCTACGAAGGGCGTGACCAGGTACTGGCGCTGAGGGGCAAGAGCAGGAGTCATGGACCTCCCTGCAGGGCTCAGGATGGACTGTGCCCTGGGTCCTCTTCTGTGGCCAATGTCCTTGCCCTCTGCCCCTCTCTGTGAGCCACTTGTGGGAACTTGTCAGGCTGAATCCCGGATGTGTCTTTGACCCTCATATTGGGGTATGAATCTCAAGAGAAGGCTTTTCTAACTCCACTGACTATATATGTACTGTTTTTCACTTAGTCTGTGTCTCATATTATACTTTTATTTCTATTTTTTAATATATTTTATTGATTTTTTACAGAGAGGAAGGGAGAGGGCTAGAGAGTTAGAAACACCGATGAGAGAGAAACATCATCAGCTGCCTCCTCCACGCCCCCTACTGGGGATGTGCCCGCAACCAAGGTGCATGCCCTTGACTGGAATTGAACCTGGGACCCTTGAATCCACAGGCCGACGCTCTATCCACTGAGCCAAACCGGTTAGGGCCATATACTTTTGTTTCTATACATACTATGTATGTGTGTGTGTAACAAAAAGGTCTGTACTGAACATTATCTAATTGGAACCTTTTATTCCGTACATCTATAGAATATCTGAAACAATTGTTGTTCTTCGTTCATTTAGATTTCTCCTTGCTTTTATACGTGTTGTATAAGGTTCTAACCTGTAGTGTTACTCTGACGTATGCCCTCTATTTCACATTGAAGTATAATACATTTGAATTTCTTTCATTATCCTGACAATGGAATGCATTTCTTTGTATTTTCATCTTGGCTCATCATGTTCATCCCACTAAGCATATGCTCTGGGCCAGAATGTGTTCTGGCCTCTCGGGAGACACCCACCACATCAACAAAACAGAGCAATTCCTTCAAAGAGGCTCTCTCTCTCATTCCAGCAGGTGGAGACCTTGAGTAAAGAAACAAGAACTTCACATTTGTGGGGGGTTTTACGTGGCAGTAAGTGCTATGGGGGGAGATAAACCCAGAGGAGGACTAGGGAATTGTCTGTTCCCTTTGATCTCAGCAACCCCTGCAGCTATAATATTGGGAAAGGTGGTTGGAAAGACCTCAGGGGAAGAGGACATTTGGATAAAATCTTGTAGGAGCCGAAACCGGTTTGGCTCAGTGGATAGAGCATCGGCCTCTATCCACTGAAGGGTCCCAGGTTAGATTCCAAGTCAAGGGCATGTACCCTGGTTGCGGGCACATCCCCAGTGGGGGGTGTGCAAGAGGCAGCTGGTCGATGTTTCTCTCTCATCGATGTTTCTATTTCTCCCTTCCTCTCTGTAAAAAATCAATACAATATATTAAAAAAAAAAAAAAAAAAAAAAAAAAGATGAGGATAGGAAGGCTCTAGACAATGTTGGCCAGAGGGGAATTCTGGGAGATAAACTGGATGGAAAGATGATTGGGAGGGGTGTGTCTGAAGCTGGAGAAGATCCGGGGAGTCCAGGATGCTGGGTGTCTGGGACCTTCCCAGGCTCTGAGTCCCAGGGGACACCTCCTTTCCTCTCCTCCCTTTCAGACCCCACCGCCCCTAATCCTTGGGAGCAGGTGCCCATCTATCTGGGTTTCCACCGCATCGCCCTCTCCCACCCCAGAGCTGGGAAGCTCACGTGTGACAGGCCCTTGTAGGGCCTTGGTGTCCTGTGTACGTGGCCGGCCCCTCCTTCCTGCAAACCTCCTCCCTCGCTTCTGTTTTGTCACTGGGAAGACGCTCAGAACCACTCTCACATCACACACTTAGGAAGTAGGCATTTCTCTCCTCCTTCCCTCATTCCTTTCTTCCTCTTTTTCTTTTTAAAATCTATTTTATTGATATATATATATATATATATATATATATATATATATATTTTTTTTTTTTTTTTTTTTTTTTTTTTACAGAGAGGAAGGGAGAGGGAGAGAGAGCTAGAAACATCAATGAGAGGGAAACGTCAATCAGCTGCCTCCTGCACACCCCCTACTGGGGATGTGTCCTCAACCAAGGTACATGCCCTTGACCAACATCGAACCTGGGACCTTTCAGTCTGCAGACCGACACTCCATCCACTGAGCCAAACCGGCTAGGGCCAAGTGATGTTTTATTGATGTTGTATACTTGAAGCCTGTATGGTTTTGTGAACCAATGCCACCCCCAATAAATTCAAATTCAATTTTTTAAATAAAAAAAAAGAAAAGGAAAGGAAAATGCTAAAGTCCAGTATGATTTTATATAATTGATGCTTTATTTCTGTGAATTTCCTGTTCAGGGCCTAGTAAGCGAGAGATGGGCGTAGGGAGTGATTAGGAATGACTTCTTATGGTGTTCTCTATCCATTCGACGAATCCGCATACTGCGGTGAAGACGACGGGGTTCAGGGACGGAGTCGAAGGCCCCCGGGACACGAGGCCTCGCAGGGCGCCGTTGCACACCAGTGGTCCCCCGGAGTCCCCCTGGGCCGGGGAGAGAGAGGATTCGTTTTTTGGCTTCAGAGCAACCAGAACCGAGGTCTCATACACCCCCTGGTGATGGGGGTCTTGGTTCTACCACAGACTTTCACCCTGACCAATGGGAGGAGACTCCTTGTCTCTGTGGACCAATGGGAGAGCAGGCATGCATGGAGCCCCAGCCAAGGGGACCCATCACAGGGAGGGGGCGGGGCTTCCTAGAAGTCAGAGCTCCATCTGTTTTCCATCCTCAGTGACTCTTTGCCAAGCAGCCAGGGAGGGGAGCTTTATCTCCAGGAACCTGTACACTCCCTTACCCAGGAGTGTGTGTGTGTGTGGGGTAGGGGTGGGGGGTAGTCCTGGAAACCAGGGCAGGAGCAGTGATCTAATTCACAGGGTCAGTGCAAAATGAAGATGCTAACCCCCACTTTCAAATGCATGAGTTTCAAGACGGCAAGGGGAATACATTAGAGCAAGCGTGAGATTGTCCTGGGTGTGGGGTGGGGCTCTGTGTCCCAGAACATCTTGCACATTCATGAATCAGGCCCTCACTGTGGGACATGGGGGAAACGCCCTTACTGTTCTTTAGGACACACAGTCCTGTACCATCATCTCTCTCTCTCTCTCTCTCTCTCTCTCTCTCTCTCTCTCTCTCTCTCTCTCTCTCTCTCTCTCTCTCTCTCTCTCTCTCTCTGTGTGTGTGTGTGTGTGTGTTTCCAATCCTCATCCTAGAATATGTTTGTACTGATTTGAGAGAGAGAGGAAGGGAGAGAGAGAAACATCAATATGAGAGAAACACATTGATCGTTTGCCTCCCACACGTGCTCTGGCTGGGGATGGGACCCTCAACCTTTTGCTGAGCTAGAAAATGCTCCGACCAGCTGAGGCACCCGCCCAGGGCCACGCCCCTCTTCAAACATGCTCCATCCCCCTGCTGTTGAAAGCTGAGAGTGCAGGCGTGAGCAGAGGGATTGGGGATGGGGAGAGAAACAGAGAGAGGTAGAGAATAGCCTAGAGAGAAGAAAGGGAGGAGGAAGGGGACAGAGAGGCAGAAACGTTGTGGACGCAGAAAGAGGCAGAGATGGAGAAAGTAAGATGACAGAGGCAGAACACTGAGAGAGGGAGAGGGACAAGGAGGACACAGAGAGAGAGAGAGGTTGAGAGAGAGAGAGAGAGAGAGAGAGAGAGAAATGAAATGAGATGTAAAGAGAGGCAAGAGGCCCTAACCGGTTTGGCTCAGTGGATAGAGCGTCGGCCTGCAGACTGAAGGGTCCCAAATTTGATTCCGGTCAGGGGCATGCACCTTGGTTGTGGGCACATCCCCAGTAGGGGCTGTGCAGGAGGCAGCTGATCTATGTTTCCCTCTCATCTATGTTTCTAGCTCTCTATCCCTCTCCCTCCTCTCTGTAAAAAAACAACAACAATAAAATATATTTAAAAAGAGAGAGAGAAAGAGATGAGGGGAGGTGATTCTGAGGCAGAGAGGATACACACACACACACACACACACACACACACACACACACTGAGTGGCCAGATTATTATGGTCTGGCCATTCAGTATATATATATGTATATATATTAGAGGCCCAGTGCATGAATTTGTACATGGGTGGGGTCCGGCCAGCCTGGCCAGAGGGAGGGGACATGGACGGTTGGCCAGCCTGCCTGCTAGTCAAACTCCTGATTGAGGGGACAATTTGTATATTACTCCTTTATTATATAGGATATATACTGAGCGGCCAGATTATTATGCATTCAGAGATCATAATAATCTGGTCACTCAGTATATATATACTATATATATTATAATTCTTTTTTTAATATTGTTATTGATTTAAGAGAGGAAGGGAGAGGGCTAGAGAGATAGAAACATCAATGATGAGAGAGAATCATTGATTGGCTGCCTCCTGCACGCCCCCTACTGGGGGGGGGGGGGATGGAGCCCACAACCCAGGCATGTGCCCTTGGCCGGAATAGAACCTGTGACCTTTTAGTCCGCAAGCCAAGGCTCTTTTCACTGAGCTAAGCTGGCTAGGGCAATAAAAATAAAAAATAAAATAAAAAAATGTGGGGTTTTTTGTGTGTTTTTTTTAAAGAAGAAGGAAAGTGGGGCATGTGGGGGTGCGAGGGAGAACCCAGCATGAGGGTCAGCCCCCCGGATTCTGGATGGTGGGAAGACGGGTCTCTGTGCTGAGAGGGAGCAGGGCCAGGACAGGGCGGGGCTGGCTCTCACCAAGTGGGCGTTGGTGTTGCTGTTGTGGGTGCCTGCACAGAACATGTAGGGTCTCCTCAGGTACAGGAAGTGCCTCCTGCAGTCCTCCAGGCGGATGACGGTGATGTTTGTGCACATGAGCTCCGACGGATAGGTCTCTGGAGCAGGAGAGAGGGCACAGTCAGAGGCCTGGCCTGCTAATGGGACCCTGAGAGAGGAGGATCGGAGGGACTCAATGCCATGGCCATGAAAAGGACTTCTGACTCTAGAGTCTTCTGACTCTAGGTCCAAGGAAGGAAGGACCTTGTGTCTGAACTCCTGGGTTTGAAGAAGGAAAAGGAGGAGAAGAAAAAGGAGGAAGAATAGGAGGAGAAAGAGGAAGAGAAGGAGGAGGAGGGGAAGGAGGAGGAGGAGGAGGAGGAGGAGGGGGAGGAGGAGGAGGAGGAGGAGGAAAAAGGAGGAGGAGGAAAAAGGAGGAGGAGGAAAAAGGAGGAGGAGGAGGGGGAGGAGTAAAGGAGGGGAAGGAGGAAATGATGATGAGGAGGAAAGGATGGGGAGGAGAAGAGGAGGGGGAGGAGAAGAGGAGGGGGAGGAGAAGAGGGATAGGAGGGGAGAAAGGGGAGGAGGGGGAGGAGGAGGGGAGGGAGGGAAGGAGGGGAGGAGGGGGAGGAGGGAAGGAGGAGTAAAGAGAAGAAGGAGGAGGAGGAGGAGGGGAAGGAAGAAGAGGAGGAGGAGGAGGAGAGGAGGAGGAGGAGGAGGAGGAGAGAAGGAGGAGGAAGAAAAAGGAGGAGGAAGAAGAAGGAGGAGGAGAAGAAAGAAGAAGGAGGAGGGGGGGAGGGGGAGGAAGGGGAGGAGAAGAGGAGGGGGAGGAAAGGAGAGGGAGGAGGAAAGGAGAGGAAGAGGAGGGGAGGAGGAAAGGAGAGGAAGGGGGAGGAGGAGAAGGAGGAGGAGAAAGAAAAAAAAGGAGGAGGAGGAGGAGAAGAAGGGGGGTCGATGATCCTGGCTTTGAGGAAGAAGGGTGCTGGGCATCCAGGTCCTTGGTCTGAGGAATGAAGGTGGCTGGAGGTCTCAGCTCTTCTGTCAAATGGCGAAGGCAGCTTGGGGCCTGGACACTTGGGTCTGCAGGCGGCGGTACTCCGCTGTCTGAGGGAGAACAGGGTGGAACCCGGACACACCTAGGCCTCTGGAGACCCAACTGTGGGACAGAAGTCTGTGGTCAGAGTGAGGAGGTCACTAAGAGCCTGGGCTCCTGGGAGGATGGGGTGGAAGCCTGGGCGGGGGGCTTGGCTTCCAGATCGAGGGGAGGAGGCGCCAGCAGCCGGGGTGCCTGGATCTGAGGGAGGAGGACGCCGGGGCGATGGGGCTCGGTTCTGCGAAGGAGAGGGCTTGGGGCCTGGAGGACTGAGTCTCAGGTAGGGGATGGGGGCTGGATTCCAGGTCCCTGGCCATGACGGAGGACAGGGTTTGGGGGTCTAGACGCCTTGGTCTATGGGAGGAGGGACAGGAGGCCTCCCGTGTCTGAGGGAGGAGAACGCCGGGCCAGGTTGTCTCACCGAAAGGGGGGCCGGTGATGCTGCCCCAGCCAGAAACCTCGCACGTGGTCCCAGGTCTCACGCATTCGGAAGAAATGGCCATGGTCCTCACGGTCGGCGACAGCGTGGCCGGGCGGCTCAGCTTCACCAGCATGATGTCATTCAGCTTTTTGGCGTCGTTATACTGGGGGTGGACGAAGGACTCCGTGGCCCGGATCACCTGGGCTTTGGGGTCGTTCAACACATGGCTGCCCACCTGCACGTTGTAGGCGCTGGGACCAGAGAGAGACAGGCCGTGACCCAGAGGGGAACGGGGAGGGGGGCAGCCCCAGGAAGACAGGGACACACAGAGACGTAGAGAGAGACCCAACGTGAAAGGGAGACAGAGACCCAGATCATGTGTGTGGGGGGGGGGGGGAGAAACACGGGGAGAGGGGCAGGGGCCCAGGAGGAGGAGGAGACACAGACGGAGGGAGAAGCAGGAACAGAGACCCAGAAGGAGAGACAAGATCCCCAGGGCCCCCAGGCACCTACAGTTGTCGGCAGTGGCCCACGGTGAGCACCCACTGCGGGTGAATCAGCACGCCTGCACACTGTGTGTCCCTGCCCCGCATCAGGGCCACCTCCCAGGGGTGGGAGCCTCGTGGACATGCAGCTCCATTGATAATCCTTTCCCCGTTGCCATGGGCTGGATGGAGACAGGGAGAAAGCATGGCTAGCAGGCATCAGGGGATGGATGGCCAGAGACATTGATGGAGACAGACAGACAGAGCTGTATGGAGAAGGGCAGAGGCAGGCATTGAGCACAGGGCAGAGACAGCTGCAGATGGAGATGGAGATGGAGATGGAGATGGAGATGGAGATGGAGATGGAGAGAGACGGAGGGAGCCTGCTCAGAAACCCAGGGCAGCTGCTGGTCTGGAGGCAACCCCAGCTTCTGATGAGAGAGACACGGAGGGCGGGGAGCAGCCTGGAGGGCACCCAGAGCCCAGGAGTCAGGAGGGAGCAGGAAGGAAGGGGCCACCACCCAGAGGTCGAGTCTCCATGGAAGGAGGCTGCTTGGCAGGGGAGGGTCCTGACTTGGGGGCTCCTTGGAGAAGAGGGGGATCTGGAGAGGTAAATGGGGGACTGTGAGGCCTGGGGGCAAGGTCAGAACTCCCAGGCCGGTCCTCACCTGCTTGTCCAGGAGATCCCAGGGCGAAGGACAGCAGTAGGAGCAGCAGGGGCTGGAGCAGGGGGCCTGCCATGTGTCCTGTCTGAGCCTCTGTGGCTGCCACAGAGGAAGGGCCTCTTCTGCTGGGGCTGGAGAGACAGAGTTCAGGAAGCAGGATGGGGAACGCCCACTGCTCATGGGTCAGCACCCCTGACCCTTAACCCCTTCCCTCCTCAGACCCAGAAGTCCTAGTCTGTTCCCAAGTCCTCCCTCAGACCAGGAGCCCAGTGCAAAAAATAAAAATAAAAAAATAAGTCCCCTTCCTTGCACTCAGATGTCCAGAACCCCACACACCCATAATTCAGCATCTCCAATTCCTTTTAGGTGGGAAGATTTTAAAAAAATAAATAAATTCCAACCTCCAGTCCCTCATCGACCCGTGACCACCAGGAGTTCAGGCTTCTACTCCTCTCTCTGTAGGAGCAGGAGTCAGCTGCCGGTCCAGGCTCCCCTGCCCTGCCCAACAGGAGGTGCCTCCTCACCTGCCAGCTGCAGTCCGTCTGTCCAAGCTGGGCTCAGGCTGTGCTGGGAGCCAACCGCATCCACTTCGGTGCAGGGTGGCTCTTTTATAACACACCAGTTCCTCCCCACCCCCACCCCCACTCCCACCTCGTCCCCTCCCCCCCCCCCCCTACCCCCATCCGCAGGGTCCTAGTGCGCAGGTGCGCTCACCTCAGAGATGCCCCTACCGGCCATCTGCTCTTATCTGAAACTCCTCAAGCAGCCAGAGCAACAAGCCGGCACTCGACCTCCGCCTGCACTGCCGACCCCCACTCTACCTGCACCATTAGGACAGGTAGAGGCACATCGTCTAGTCTAGGGTTGGCCCAGCATCTTCTGGCTCCACCATTCCTAGTGGCAGCTCCCAGGAGCTGGCCCTGAGGGGACAGAAGAGCTGGAATCAAGGACCTGCACTGCTCACAATTGGAATTCGCCCTGGGGTCACTTCTGTGGTCAATTTTCTTGCCTTTCACCCACCCCACCCCTGTCTCAGGGGTGGCCTGGACCTTACACCCTAACTCTAAGCAGCCGGTGGGAAGTTTCCCAGGCTGAATCCTAGACGTGTCTTTGCATCTGAACCAAGAAACCAACCCTAATATAAGGGTATGAATAAAAAAGAGAAGGTCCCTCCCCCCCCCCCCCCCCGCCCCCAACTTCACTCATGAAATGCCTGCTGTTATCTCTGACTCTGTCTCCTATTACATGTAGATTTCTACACATACTATGTCTCTGTAACAGAAACAAACAAACAAAAAAAATGACTGTGGTACGTGTTCTCTAATGTTACATGTTATTTACTCAATCGAATACCCTGCACATTTTCCTCCGGCCACACTTGCATTATTTCTTCTTTATTGATACCGTTGTGTCACACTTCTCACTGTGGCACGAGCAGGATGCGTGTGATTTCTTTCACGTTGACGTACATTTGAGTAGCGGCCGTTATAATTTTAATTATACATTATAATTGTCATTATACCATTTCTCGGCACGGTCATCTCCGCCCCTTGCATTCACCCAAGATCAGGACCCAGCAAGCCCTGACTCTGAGCCAGCAACTATTCTGGCCCCTCAGGGCACAGAAGAGCAGACCTGTTTTCCATAGGATTTCTCATACCAGTGGTTGGGGATCTTCAGCAGAAAAAAAACAAACAAAAAAAGAATTTAAAGTAAGCAGTTTGTTAGGTGGCAGTTCGTGCTGTGGAGGAGAGTAAGAAGAGGAGGGATAGGGAAGTATTGTGTCTCTCCCCCCTGAAGCTACAGTGTTAGGTGAGACCATTAGAGACTCCACGTGAAGAGGGCATTTGAGCAAGATCTTGAAGGATGTGGTGGATCCATCGTGTGGCCTCCTGGGTGCCCTGAGTGAGTCCCCGCCAGCGTGAGCATGCAGGTGAGATGGCACGAGGCACCCCAGTATGCCCTAGCGCAGTGGTCGGCAAACTCATTAGTCCACCGAGCCAAATATCAACAGGACAACGATTAAAATTTCTTTGGAGAGCCACAGTTTTTTCAACGTAAACTCCTTCTAACACCACTTCTTCAACATAGACTAGCCTGGGGCTGTGGTATTTTGTGGAAGAGCCACACGCAAGGGGCCAAAGAGCCACCTGTGGCTCCGGAGCAGAGGTTTGGTGACCACTACCCTAGCAGGAAGCCGTTTTGACTGGGATGGAAAGAGCCAAAGGGAGAAGGGCAGGCAATGGAGTCAGCGACATCACGCGACTCAACGACATAAGGATTGAGGACTAAGGGAGGAGTTTGGTTTGACTTTGAGCGAGATGGGAACCATTGTCGGATCATTACCAGACGCCCAACTTCTTCTAATAGTGGAAATGACCACACACACACACACACACACACACACACACACACACACTTCTAAATCAGTCCCCCAAATATGACATTTTCATCACCTGAGCCCAATCCTGACCTCTAACCCAGTTCTACCTCTGGCTCATAATTGGCACCATAATAGACATCATTGTTGCCTACCCTAGCATTCACTCCTTCTGCCGTTGATTTCGTTTGGAGAGCCTGCAGTCTTCATGTGACCCCAAAGGAGCTTGTTGGCACCAAGCACAGGACCGCATGTCTGCGGTCCAGGGATTGTGTAGAGATGGACGCAGGGCACCATTCTGGCCAAAGAAGAGTGAGGGGGAGACCACAGGGTTACTTCTGGGATCAGCTATCTTCTTTCCAAAGCGAGACACGAGAAGAGTTCTCCTTCCCTCCATTAGACAGTGTCCCTCATGGATGTAAATTCTGGACGTGAGGTGCCCTCCTGGAACCATGGGGAGAAGTGGCCGTTAGACAAAGCCATAGCCCTGTAGATGGACAAATGAAGAGATGGAGATAGTTGTTTTTTGTTTTGTTTTTTACAGAGAGGAAGGGAGAGGGAGAGAGACTTAGAAACATCAATGAGAGAGAAACATTCATCAGTTGCCTCCTGCACACCCCCTGCTGGGGATATGCCCTCAACCAAGATACATGCCCTTGACTGGAATTGAACCTGGGACCCTCTATCCACTGAGCCAAACCAGTCAGGGCGAGATAGGGTCTTTGATGAGGTTGCTGAGCTGGTGAATGAATGCTCCATGGAGCCCCTTCATCTCATATCATATTCAGGTTTCCCTCTGGTTTGAAGGGTTGTTGTTGTTGTTGTTGTTTTTAACTATTTTTTTATTGATTTCAGAGAGGAGGGAGATGAAGAGAAAAATAAAAACAATGATGAGAGAGGATCATTGATCAGCTGCCTCCTTCCTGCATGCCCCCCACTGGGGATTGAGCCCATAACCTAGGCATGTGCCCTGACTGGAAATCCAACTGTGACCTCCTGGGTCATAGGTCAATGCTCAGGCACAGAGCCATACTGGGCGAGCTGACATGGAGGGGTTATGTTTGTTTTTGTTTGTTTCTACAACCAAACTCTTTCTTATTTGGGGCTCAATGTTTACTCCAAGTCTCGGGTTAGATGCCAAATCCAATCCCAAACTATGAATGTCAATTTAATTCAAATTAGAATCCCTATGTGGAATTCAAATTAACTAGCAAACCTAACCCTACTTCCCGTAGTAGCTCTTCCTCCAGCTCTTTCCCTACAACCTCTTTCAGACTCAATCATTTATACACTTAGAAAATACATATAGAGACCAGCCATATACCAGGAGGGGCTGGGTGCTGAGGATATAGTGGTGCTCAGTCCTGGACACAAAGAATTCCTTCCTTCAAGGAACTAACAGCCAAGTTAGTAAAAGGAAAAATAATCAATTCACCGATATGCAAAGGTAAATGTATAACTTTAATGTGTGCTCTGAAGTAAATGTGCAAAGGATTGTGAAAGCACTTCTGGGGGGTTTTGAACAGGAAGTAACAAATAGTGTGGATAGAACAATAATCATAAACTAGAAAAAAATGTAAAGAATTTGCAGGGCACCGTGTAGAGAAAACAGCAGGTGCAAAGGTCTGAGATGGAGGGCGAGCACAAACGAAGCTCAGAGATCAGAGGTTGTACGGAACCAGGGAATGAAGGACCTTGTAGGTCCTGGTGAGTTGGACTTTGTGTGGTGGGCGATGATGGACAACGAGGACTTGGTTCAGAGGAGTCACATATAACATTGGTCTTTTCAAAATGTCAACCTATGAAGGAAGATAAGAAGTGAATGTGGAGTCAGAAAGGAACCATTGCTATTTTACAATGATTTTACAATGAGAGATGGTGGGGACTAAGATAGGACCATTTGGGAGAGGGAGATGGTAATAAGAATTCATAAGTAGATGAATTCAAGATGCATTCGGGAAGGAAAGTCAACAGGCCACTGTGATGTTTTGAATGGACGTTGTGGTTGTTGTGGAGCAAACACGAGTGAAGGACCCTGGAGTCCAGACCAAATTAAAATTTGGGGAGCCTTTATTAGCCGGCCAGCGACTGCTCTGCTTTTCTCCATGCAGGGAATACAGAGAGCAGCCCTGACCCTTTCTGTGGGACCGCTTTTAAGCACATTAACCACATCCTATTTTCAGGGCAAGCAAAACAGTTTTCTCCAATCAACATCAGAGTCATGCCATTGACAACCATGTTGTTCACAGGGTCATCTTGTTTCTCAGAGAGTTGACAGTGGTCTATGAGAGAGTGCCTATGTGCTGGAAAGGGGCCATGAGACCTTATCTCAAGGTCTGGCTTGGTGTCAGCACGGACAACTCTATCTGGGGCACAGTCCATGGCCTCTCTGGAAACATGCTCAAAAATTCCTACTCTCCAACAGTGATGAGAAAGTTGGAGATGTTAGAGCTTCAAGGTCTCCTGCTTGGTGGACATGGTGCCATTTCATGGCCAGATCTGACCAAGAGCTCATGAGAGGGTGAGAAACACTGCAGTCCCTGGTTTCAACCATAATTCCAAGTTTAGTCTTTACTTAGAAACAACTCTCAACTCCATTTTTTACACAAGCCAGAGTCTTAACCTGCAGCCTCAAGGTTACTCAGCCCTAACCCTCAGTATTTCTTTATCCCTGACTGAGTTCAATTTACACCTCAACATGGCACCTTCTTCCTGACCAAGCTCCTGACTCCAAAGGTCAACGCACGCTCCATCGCTCACATCAAGCAACTTGAGTATGATTCTTGAACTTGAACTCTGAACCCCTGAACATAAGTCAGACTCAACCTTGACCCAAACACTAGGTGTCA